TTCCTCTTTTGGATTTTTCGATTCAAGGCCCTCCCATGGCTGATAAACTGGAAAACTGGAAAACTGGAAAACTGGAATAGCTTAAGATAAAGGCAACAGTCGGGGAACTGAAATAAAGGCACTTGAAATATTAATACAGACTTCTAAATCAAACTAAACTAGACTGACTAACTGCCTTAGAATGCCATGATTTTAATATTAAAAAGTAATTTTTCAAGATTTTCCAGTGGCTTCACCAAGACCACCCCTTTGCCAGCCGCACTTTTATTTCCCCTACTGTAAGCGGGGCTCATCCCAAACGCATACAAACAAGTCCACAGATAAATTGTGCAAAGAACGGAGAGCCTGATTAAAATGCCTTACACTCGTGTCCTTGGCTGTGCCTTGCGGATAAAGGAGTTGTGCTGCATTGATTGCCAGGGATTACCGGGAAATGCAGCGCAGACACAGACACAGAAACACTCGGACGATTGCTGAGGGAAAATTGCCCGGGCGGGCACCTGACCAAACACCTGAATAAAATACGAGGATGTACTATATGTATTTGCATGGGGCTTTCAACGCTTTAGCCGCAACGAGTGTGCAGAGTCACGAAATTCTTGGGGAAAATATAAAATATGAAATGGCAATGCAGCCCGAATCCTGACATTATCTGGCTCACACACGCGTGCACCTGTTTTCGTTAGGGTGTGTCGTTGGTGTTTGTTTTGAATTTGCAGCAAAAAAGATATAAGTATTGATTTAAAATTTTTATGCTAAAATTAAGTATATTTTATAAGGAAACTAAAACTTAAAAGCGGTATTTGAGTTTACATTTATTATAATTTTGACATGTACATAAAATCGGTAGTATTTCCCTTTGCTTTATTATTTGTATTATTATTTTCACAAGTACCTTTTGTTTATAACGATGGTTTAGTGTATTCTTATTACGTATACGTAATATAATCACGTATACGCAATGTGATGTTTTCTCATTTTATATTAAAACAAACATTTCCTTCTTAATGGCGCTAAACTAGCGCGTCATTGTAAATATTTATAAACAATATTGCTTTTTCTTATACACTGAAATTCAATCGACATCGTTGTTTGCCAAAGTTGAGCGGAAGACAATATTTTTTTATTTGTTCAAAGGCTTCAATTTGTAATCTAATCAGTTATAAAAGTGGGTTAAAAAAAGGAAAATCTAAAAAAAAAGGTGTAAAGTTTATAGCAAAAGGAAATAAATTTGTTGCATTGAATAAAGGAACACCCTAGCATAACAAACAAGATGGAGCCAGCAAAATTGAGATATAAGTTTTTTTTTGGCTTGCTTTTAGGGTGGGAGAAGAGAGGGTATGGTGGGGTTTGGTGCTTTGGGGTGATCACTTTTATTACCTGCATTGGTTTGCACCATTCTGTGGCTGTCGCTGTGTGCGTATGCCGTGTGCTGGCGTGCTGGTGTGCGTGGGCGTGTGTTTTGGGCTTGCGGAGATTGCCCAAAGCTTTTCCTTTCCTCCTCGTTCTCTCGTTCTCTCGTCCTCTTGTCCTCTCCGTTGCGTCGTCCCCTGTTCTGCTGCTGCTGCCCCTCTGTTGCTTTTCACACACGCGCGCGTAAAATGTTTTTCGAAAAAATTTGTATTTGTTTTGCGTATGCCGAGTGTCTGACGCTGGCAGCGACGCTGTCAGAGAGCAAAGTGTCGCCTGTGGCAGCCTCTTTCTCCTCCTTTTCCACGCTTTACTCACTTTCTTCGTCCTCTCCGCCTGTCCGCCCCTCTTGCCCTCGCTGACGTACTAGTTGCTATCCTTTATAAATAATTCGGCAGCCGCCGGAGCCGCCATTTCGCTCGGCCGACAAGCAAAAAAAAGACAACAAAAAATGCAGGAAAAACGCACAAGCTCACTGACTGACTCACTGACCGACTAAGGTAACGGCCACAAAAAAAATTTCAGAAATGTGTGTAGCATATTTCCCAGCTTTCCCAGCGAACGGCGGCGGCGGCGTAGTCGTCGTCGTCGTTAATCGTCAGTCGGAGGTTTTTCCAGGAAAAGCGCGTGTGCACGAGACCAACTCCGCAGCGAAACTGAAACTGAAACCAAAACTGAGACTCGGACTGCTTCTGAACTGGAGGCCAAAATGGAATGGAGGCACAGGCGCCAGAACAACGGCCAGACACATCGACACTCACGGGCAGCAGCAGCAACATCTGTCACGGCAACATCGGTCTGTAAAAGTACAGCAACAGCAACAGTTATCCTCACAGAGAGGGAAGCAGCAACATTGAAACATTCCCAGGAGTAGTGCCAGCAACATCATTAACAGCAGAAGTAATGACAACAGCACAAATAACAGTAGCATATGTATCTACAAGGCCAGTAACAGTGACAACGAAAGCAACATCAGGAGCTGCAACACCAAAGTTAAGAGCCAAAGAATTAGAGCTAAGTGTATGGTTTTGTTTTATAAGAATTGGAAATAAATTAATTAACTATATTTGCCATTTTTAGTTTAAACTTTAAGCCGTAAACTCCTTATTATCCAACACTTTAGATGTGCAAGGAAATATACACACATAAATAGTTAAAGACATGAAAATCTTATATTTAAAATTAAGCTAAAATAATAAAAATAACTTCAAAACTTTGACCAAGCGTCCATATCTAACAAAGAAGCCATGACAACACCAAAATTTTCAGCAACTTTACAGCAACAAGCGACGTAAAAGGAGCAACAACAACAACAGCAACATGTGCTGCAACAGCAACAACTGAAGCAGTTCTCTCTCCTCTTTTCTCTCGCACCATTTTCCCCGGCTAAAACGTTACCGTTACATTTCGATTCGGAAGCTTTGCGCGTTTCGCACTTCGGTCATTGCCATCTCTTTTCCACTTTCAGGATTCACACACATACGTACGCATAAGCATACAGTTTGGGTCAACTAAATAGGAAAAAATGTACATAAACTTGACTGCTAGGAAAGGATATTATATTATTTTGATGAAAATGGAAAAAGGTGATGATAATTTTGTGTATTTTTGCTGTTAAAGGATAAACATTTATTTTTTTAAATTATATCTGAACGAAACCTGATTTCAGAACAATTTCTTAAATATGATAATGATTTTTTTTGAATAGAGATCACTATATTTGCCACCGTTGGTGTACGCCAGTATGTAGGTGAGTGAGCAGGGATTCTTTGCGCTGGCAGTTTGCTGACGTCGCCAAATCCAGCCACAAGCAACAGGACAGCTCACCACCCTTACCCCTTACTCCCCAATTCCATCCACCCCCAAACCCGGCCACACACACACACACACACACACACACACACACACCGAGTCTGGCCCAAATTTGGCTGAAAACATTTCGGAGTAATTCGTGGACCGCTGTTGCTTCGCATTGAGTCTGCGCCCTGGCCATGTAACCCGCAACCTTCCGCCCTTGGCCATCCGCCCTACCCCCAAAAAACCCAAGGCCCAAGACCCGAGACCCAAAACCCTATATACCCTGCCCCAAAAACACCCCCCGTTGGAGCCATTAGAGTGCTTAACATAACCTGCACACTGTGGATTTGTGTGTACCGAAATATTTTCAATTACGGTCTCAGGTGGAAGCCGAATGCCAGTGTTGGCTAAGATGGACGAAATTCCTGCGCCCAATTTGTGGGCTCCCAACTGTGCAGGGCAAATATTTATCAGGCCCCAAACGATGTGCAGCCGGCTTAAAGAGTTCGCTACTTAATAAATAAATAAAATTAGGTAACTAATTAGAAAATAAATAAGTTATTAGGTAAATAATTTAGTTATATATTATAGAATAATAATTAAAAATTAATAAATAAGCAAGTAAACATATAAGTAATGGAATAAATTGGTAAAAATACACAACTTTGTTAAGAGAATAGTATGGAAAATAAATGCTTACTGACCAACTCAAGAGTTGAGAATTCTAAGGCAAGCGAAAGATGCAGAGGTATCTGTTACCAATAAAAATGTTTTATATTAAGTAAAATAAAAAATTAAATTACTAATTGCTAATTTAAAAATTCATTTGGTTTTCTTGTAAACATTTTACATAATTTCGTTTTATTTTGTTTTTCTCTTCATGGTTTTTTGGTAAATTATACATTGACGTTGCGTTTTCTTTTTTTTTTTAATGCATTTTTCTTAAATTCTTAATTTTTTTTCCTTTTGGTTGTTGTTTTTGGTTGCTGCTAATTCTCTGGTCTGTGAGATGTCGCTTGGAACATAGGATATCTGTAATATGCATGCGTATGCTTTTTTATATGTGGTTACAATTGTGGGTAACGTAATATTCTATATGCTCGGGCTCTATAGGTGGCATCTCTACACAGACGCGTATATAAATATATATATATATATATATATATATATATACATATATATATATGTATGTGTATATATATGTATGTGTATATATATGTATGTAGCTTAGCTTGAATACGATACAATATAATATAGCGAGGACTCGCGCCTTCCTCGATGTGTTTCGTTTGTTTTTTTTTTATGTTTTTTTTTTAATTTTTTGTTTTTTGTTCTGGTGGATCAGTAGATCTTTTTTCGAATATGTGTATCAAAAGTGTGGCTAAAATTTCGCTTGGACTCTACCGACTTAAGATTTCCCTTCAGTTTTAGCTTTCATTTTCGGCATGTGTAAAATATATCTTTTCTCTCTCTGTCTGTTGCCTGTTGTCGTCTCCCTCTTGTTCATCATGTGTATATATAACTATCCTTTTTTAGCGCTTACAAAAATATCCAATATTCAAAGAAGCAACAAGAAATCACATTAAGTTTTTTTTTTAGTTTTTAGTTTTTAGTTTTTCCACGTTTCTTAAGTTTGTTGTTTTTGTTTGTTCTATACACAAAAAGCGTGCTACTTGCTTTAACTTGGATTCCACACAAAGTGTTTGCTCTATAGTTTCATACAAGTTGTAAATATATATATGTATGCATGTATGTAAACCCAGTGGAGGGATTTTTGGTGCGCCTGCACTTACCAAAAAACAACAAGGATTCAGATTCTGATTCCGATTCGGATTCGAATAGAAACTAAGTATTTAGCCTGAGAGTTGACAGCAAAACAATAGCAACAAATCAGGCTCGGTTATAACAAATACACGGTTAACACATTCTGTTGTCTATATAGGTAATATATCTATAAATATTTGCTTAATATTCTTTTGTATATTGTACATATATGGTATCTTCATATTTTTTTTCATATTCATAATTCGGCTAATACCATGAAACTCAACACAACACAACTCAACTCTCCTGTTGTCACCTTAACAATATTTGCATAACATTTGTGTGGATGTGTTTCAATATTTTATGGAGTTACCTGCAGGATCCACCTGCTCCACCGCTTGCAGCTACACAAAAATAAAAAGAAAAACAAGAGATAACATAACCATGACCAAGCGAACAATTGCAATTCAATATCTTTCAATATATATGTATATATATGTGGGTGTATATATCTGATTACTTGCCAGATCGATAACATAACAGTAACAACAATTGGCCGCTATCGCAGCCGCACAGCATTGCCCTATATAGATGATATCTAATACAATATCCCCAAATATCCGTCGTCCAATCGAATATACAAAACGTATAAATATGCAACTGCCTCTACACATATAGTGTCTATATAATATTACCAGTATATATATAGTATATATTTTGTATAAGTATAAATAGTTTATCTTTTACGTTGTTCGATTTCCACTTGATTTTCGATTTTCGATATTCCACTTATTCACTTTTCCTTCTTCTGCATTTAGTTTTCTTTTTTTTTCAGGTCACTACAATTTCCTTAATTTCCTTATTTTCTCTAAAAGTTTTCATTAAACACATTTGTCGCCTTCTAAGCAACTCCCAGCCGTTTTCCACAAAAAAAAAACCATTAAGGATTACGGGAAACATCCCAAAAAACCTCAGCGAGAGCCTCAGCCTAATTGCAATCTCTAGGGTGTGCAGGTAAGTTATGTTTTTTATGTATGCTGGGGCTATATGTCAAGGGGTGTATGGTATATATATGCAATTCTCTAAGCCACGACACTACGACGCTACGTCTATAACTCTATGATCTAGGTGCTGGCTACTTAGTACATCGCAGGCTCAATACTGATCGGGGAAGTGAGGTCGCAAACTGAGGAGTCCAGGAACTGACAATGGATGAAGGACTTATGGAGAAACCTCACACTCTACTTGTTCTCGATGATGGTCTGAAGCTGGAGGACCAGACTCCGGGACAGCTGCAGGATCGATTGGGCATTGTGGCGCTCGGCCATTTCTATAAGGAAAAAGAATATATATATATACAGGATATTTCTTTCCTTATAAACTATATTTTTCTTACCATTAAAGAACTTGATGACATCGGTAAAGTCCATGCTGTTCGAGAGTATGATGTCGCGATAGGTCTCCAGGAGGGCCAGCGCCAGGAAGAGGACAAAGTGACCGGAGGCTATGTGCTTGGCCGCCCAGATCACCTCCCAGGTGGCGAAGACGTCGTCGTAGACCAGCTCCCGCTTGAAGTCCAGCAGGAACCAGCGGTAGCAAAAGTAGAAGTGCGTGTAGTCCCCATTGGAGTCCATCAGGTCGTACATCTCCGAGTCGAGGATTTGGATGAGGGATCTATATAATGCATATTAATTATCAGAGCTTAATAATAGTTTACAAAGTCCAACCTCATGTTGGCAAAGTGCATGTCCATGGCTCCTCCGCTGGGGAAGTTCTCGATCATCCGCTCCATGAGCTTGCAGAAGCAGCTGTAGCTGAGCGACTCGTCGTCGAAGATGACCAGGAGCGGAGCCACCAGGTCGCACATGCCCTGCATGTAGCCCACGTCCAGGTGCTCCCACACGTACGTGGAGATCACGTTGCGCAGCTTGTCCAGGTTCTCGTTGGCAAAGTACCAGTAGTTCCTGTCACACCTCTGCACATCCTTCTCAATCCTGTGCAGATTTAGGCCAAACTGCTCGAGCAGCTCTACGCTGTAGACGCCGCCATTGGAGCTGGCCGGTGAGACACAGGCGGACTTGGGCTCCTGCAGGGCATCCAGGGAGGCCACCACCGTGATGTCTTCGTTGAGAGGCGACATCAGGCTGGTCTTGCGAGAGGTAAACTCCTCGGTGGGGTCGTCGTCGTTTAGGGCGTCAAGCGAGGCCGCTTCTGTGATGATAACCGAAGTGCCGGGCTGCGAGTGCTCCTCCTCCTGCTCTGGCTCTTGCTCCTGTTCCTGTTCATCCAACCTCACATCGTCGGCGCTGTGGAATTTGCTCAGCTGTCCCAGCGGCTCCTCTTCCTCCAGCTTGGCCTCGGCCATGTCGACAAACTCGTTGCCCACCGTCTCATAGCTGCTGGTGGAGGGTGAGCTCTTGATGCTCAACATCAGAATGTTGCCGCTGCCATCCAGGCTTAGGCCGAACTCGTTCTCGGTCTCAGAGTCCGCGAAGCAGTTCTCCTGGAGGCGTAGCGGTTCCATGTTGTCGATATTCTGGAACTCGAGAACCAACTGCTCACTGAGCTGGGGCACAACTCGTTCACCCTGTTCCTCCTCCGGCACCACAGCCTCCTCCTGATCGTGGCCTTCCTCCTTTGGGTCTTGCTCTTCCGCTTCCCTGGCCATTTCCGGTTCATCAAACAGATCTCCCGGATCGGATATATCCGAAAAGTCATTATCATCGAACACATCGTTTTCGCCCTCGTCCAAAGTTAGGTGATCCGTCTCCCCATTGCCGTTCCTCTGCTGCCGTTCCAGCTCTAGCTGGCGACTGCCGTTTGTGAGCTTCTCGTGGGAATTGAGGCCGTTGGAATTGGGATTGGAGTTGGCTGCCAGGCGAGCCTGCTCGGCACTGAGCCTGGCCACCGCCAAGGCAGTCTTCTCCTTCTCCCGCTGACGCACAATGGCCTCCACCGCCAGCCATTCGCTCATTGTGGTCTCGTAATAGTGCTTGCACGTCTCGTCCTGCTTCCGTCGCTCCTCCGATGTGGATCCGAAGGCGTAGTGGCCCAGCAGGTAGGGCCACACGTCCTTGCGAAGATCGGGCTGAACGCCGCCGAAGTAGACCAGTCGATACAGCTCCAGTTCGCTGGAAACAACGCCATCCTCGTGCATCGCCAGCCACTTGTCACGGGTTAGACCCTCCTCGTCGGCAGCCACTGGTGGGGGGAAAAGGATTGGAATTAGTTAGTTTCCCAAAGGGAGAGGTCCATGAACAACTCACAGTCCGGCATAATGCGACCGTTGACCAGCCCGGAGAGATGCGTCCGCACCGTGGAGAGGTGCCGGCAGTAGGCCAGCCATCCATAAAAGGCTCTGGAGATGATCTGGCGGCGCATCGTGGAGCAGACCAGTTCGATGCTGGTGCTCTGGCTGGCCTGGATCAGGGGGGTCTCGCAGCTGCTCTGATCGATCGAGAGGCTCTTGCTGGAGCAATCGCTGCTGCCGGTGGTGGAGCAGCTGCCCAGGTGCTTTCTCCGGGGACTCGACCGGCCCAGCTCCAGGATGGGATGGGTGGCCACTAAAGATCGAAAGTATATACAGATGTATATTGGTAAGCTTCAGAATTAGGTTTACTTACGGAATTCCTCGTGCTGACACTTGCTGACCACACGGAAGACATAATCGATGGGCGTCTCATCGGCGGAGGTGCCCGCCTCCATAACCGAGGGAAGGATGTGCCGGCGCACGCTCTTGGGCCATGGGAAGAGCTTCCCGATGCCCCGTTGCGACCAGAGCGGCGGATCAAGCTGGCCGTGCGGCAGGAGACCCGTCTCCAGGCAACTAAGGAAGGCCTGCAGGTGACCGCCTTCGGGGAAGTGGATAGGGGGACGCTGGACACCGTCCTGGCCCACCAGAATGATGGTGCCGCCGGTGTCACCGCCTCGATTCTGATGGCAATGGACGTAGACGATCTCATCCACATTGATGTTGAGGGCGTAGCCCCAAAAGAAGCTCTTGTCACCGCCATCGCTGTCGTTGTAGCCGTTCATCAGCTGGTTGGGCGTCCACTTGATGGTCAGCGACTGAACGCTCTGATGTAGGCTCAGGTAGCCCGGCATTGGCTCCGACACGTCCTTGGGCAGGACCAGGACGTTGTTCTTGCCGTAGAGCAGGGTGGTGCGCGAGTTCTGGTGCAGTGACTCCACATAATCCTTGGCCACGCTCGCCGGCGAGCTGGCCTTGAAGCTGCCGCTGCTCGTGTCCTCGGAGCTGGTGTGCAGGCTGCGCTTGAAGTTGATAATGGGCCGGTGGGTGGTGGGCGGTGTCCGGTTGCCCGAGCTGATCCTGTGACGCTGCACCTATAAAATTATGATTAAATAGAGAGTCCGAAACTGATCTTCGACGTGGACTTACCAGCTCGTCGGCACAGGGATCGGACCAGTAGTGGTCGGCAGTCTTGGCCCGGGTGAACTCCAGGGCGCAGGGACCCACCAGCAGCGAGCTTAGGATCGAACCATAATCCGGATCGGCCACCAGGGCCTCGCGATCGTAGTAGCTGCTGGCATTGCCCACCAAATGCTCAATAATCTTGGCCAGTCGCTTTTCATAAAGGGCCAGTCGAATCCAAAGGTACTTGCCCAGCGGGGCAATGTTCCCGGCCCCACTGGCACCACCGCCGCTGCCCGCTCCGTTGGAAACCGTGTTGATGGTGGTCACCGAGCTACTGCTTCCGCTGCCCTTGCTCAGCAGCTTTGGCTTGATGATGCTGTCGCTGCTGGAGGACGAGCGCTTGCCGCTCACCGCATGACTCTCCTGGGCGAGCTCCAGTTCCAGCAGGCGCCGGCTAACATAGTCTGCCTCTGGGCAGATTTTTGCAATCTTCTGGATCAGTGCCGTGGTAGATGAGGTCTTGAACAGGCCCAAGGCACGCCGCCTCAGGCCATGACTCAGGCAGGCTTCCACAGCGCCGCAGAGCGAGGTCACCGAGCTGCTCTCCTCGTGCACATACTTCTTGGTCACCGCCTCCTCCATCAGCTGTTTCACCTCCTTCTTAACGCTGGCTATCAGCCGCTCCTTCAGCTCGCTTTCCGCTGTGCAGGAAGAAAGGGGAATTAGATATACACTGAGATAAATGGAAATGGAAATACATATATGCGACCTGGAAGGGAACTCTAAGAGATTGAAACTGTCTTGTCCTAATTGGCTTGCTACTTATTTGCCTTAGTGTGGTTATTGATAATCCCTGGAGCTGGCAAAGGAGCCCCCAATAAATTTGATTTGATTGATTGCACATGCCGGAGTGCCCCGCCTCCCCCAACTCGTCTGGGATTTTCTCTATTTACTTTCTTTACTTTCTCCTCTTCCATCGGTCGGCGTTCAGACCGACGTCAATCATTTTGTCATCGCTGTCAATTTTTGTCCTGTTTGCTCCCGTGCACAAAATCGCCGCCACCACTACACCCATAAATGCGCGGGTATACGGTGCGTATACGTACTATGAAAACTTTTTTAATCAACGATGCAAACAGGAAATTGAGTTGCCTGTCTATCGCAAGTTGTCAGCAGTTAAAAGGTCTTGGACTAAGGCAAAGGACACTTTTTAAATACAACAACAAAGTGTAACTATTTAAAACATTTTCTTTTGGAGAAAAATTGGTAAACTAACTATAAAAGGGCTTTAATATTGATTTAAGTAAGAGCTTTTAGGTAATTTATATATTTTCTTTTCTTATACTTAATTATTATTATGAAATATAAAGGACATCAGTATGTATGCCTTGTTCTATGTACAAATATGCTAATTGGATAAAAGCACCACGAACGGAAAGGGCCTGAAAGGGAGTCAGAGGAAAGGCGCGCCTCTAATTAGAATGGAAATAAAGGATTTACGCTGCTACGTGACATGGCCCGCCAATGGCCAGGACAAGGTTCCAGGACAAGGAACGGGAATTTGAGGCAAAAACATAACCAAAATCGATAAGGGAAATTGCAACAGTGTCCCAAATTCAAAAACGTTAAAGTAGTTAAAGGTTTTTTGTTTAAGATATAAAAAAATTTGAAAATAAACTAAAATCGCTTTACACAAAACTCCAATATGATATGGAAAATTTTGTTAGTTTGCAAAAAACCACAAAAATAACTATTGCAGCTGTTTCTTTTCCAACGACGTTTAGAATTCCCAACACGTTCTAGATTTTAGATGTATAACAAAGAACCAAGACAATTTCTGATAGTTAGTGCTCTGATTCTTTTCATCTTTTTAAGCAGTTAAAAAAGGACAAACAGACACCATTTTCTGATTACAACTTACAGGACTGGAAGGACAGAAACCACATGTCCGTGTATTATAGAAAGGTGAAGCGCATTCGAGCACATCGGCACATGCACTAAGTTGTTTATTTTCAATTCTCAATGCAATTTGCTATTGCCGCCGACTGGAGTGGAAAACATTTCAATAAACAAGAAACTAGGAGCGCCGGCCACATGCACAGGCACATGCACATGCATGATTATGCGATGGCAGGCACAGGCACAGCCGCAGGCACTGTAACAACCACAACCACAGCCACAGCCACGGGCATTCGCAGTGTGCCTGTGCCTGTGCTGTAACCTTGACTCGATGCTAAAAAACTTCCTTGAATTATAACCTACAACAACGGGGTGGCAGCGGTAGAGCAAAAGAGACGGCGCGAGGGAGTGACACCTGCGACGCTACCAATACAGGCGCACGCACACCGCACACTTGACCCTGAACAACATAAAACAGCTGATGACAGGGCAAAAGAAAAATGAAACGCAGAGCGAAAGGAGCAAAAGGAAAAAAAAAAAGGAAACGAGAGAGAGAGAGAGAGTAGAGCTAGAGGAATGAGAGCACCGGCGAGAGGCCCGGAATATGCGAGGGCAAGTGAGATGGCAAATGGGAAGATGAAAGGCGATGCCTCTCTCTCTCTCTCTCTCTGGCAGAGCGGGATGGCAGTGTGTGCGAGTGCATGGGGTGCTCCTTTAATTTGCTGCCAGTTACAGAAACACAACAAAAGCAGCAGCAGGAACGGTGCTAAGCTGTGCTGAGCACCAAGAAGGAATAACGGAGAACGGAGAGCCCCATACACATCATTAAATCCCCTGCCATGGCAGCCATATTGTAAATGGAAGCGGTGCCCAAACATATGTTTGTTACCCAACAAAAGGGCGCACACAAGTGCGTAAGCGTGTGTATGTGTCTGCACGGAGAAAAGGCCAACGGTAAATATACCACTTTCATGTGCCTAGTAATATGTAAAACAAATTTATTAAAATATTTATTTTAATCATAACATAAAAGACATTTACTTTTTTAAGTTTACAACAAAAATTTTTCAAAATTTCCCTTTTTAAGGATCAACTTAGGCAAGAGAAGTATAATTTATTTATTTTATTTAAACAAATCCAACCCTACGTATGAGTAATATTTTAATAGTAATAAAATATATAAAATATATACGCACTGTTGACTCTATGGATTTTTAAACTTCTAAAGAGCTAAAAAAATGTCATGTAATTTTTGTCTTTAAAAACGATATCAATTAATATTTTTAGCAAATTCAGTTTTACGTATGAGTGATATTTTAAAAAAATATTAATCATACGCACGGTGGTTTATATGGTTTTATTAATTAACTTCTAACAAATGTTTCTTGGAATTTTTGTCATTTATGGAGAAACCTCAATTTAAAAAATATATTATTTTGATATTATATTATATTGTTATATTATAAAATTTAAGATTCAATTAATGTAATGACAACAATCTCGTATATTTTTGAGCAATGCAAGGAACTATAAAGAGACCGGGTAACGGCGCTGCTCAGAGGTAAATGGAGAAGGAAAAGGACACGGAACCCGGAACCGGAACAGGACATTGTGCGCGCTTCTCTGATTACTTTAATTGCCAGGCAATTTGATGAATTTCAAATGAGAGGCCAGCCGCTGAATTTAGGGCGGCCAAGAGGGCGTGACGCGGCGTAATCGCATCGGAATATGTAAGAAAACGGCTGCGATAATGCAATTACCGGCTACGTCCGACATTACTATGTATTTAAGATGTACATATGTATATATGTTTCTGAGCAGGAATGTAAGCAACGGCAGGAAGGCAAAAAGAAGATTAATGCCAAACTGACCTATTGGCCATGAACTTTTGCATTTGCCATGGTCAGGGTAATTCAGGTAATTCCACTTAATTGGACGCGTGTGTGGGTTAAAAAAAAAGCCATGCAATCGATGCCAATTAGAGCGGTATTACCTCTCACTCTCTCTTTCTTTTTCTGACCCTGCACCTGGATGTAAGCTGCTGATGCACCTGCCACCGAGCGTTGCTCCATTTCGCCCCCTAATTAATGGCCCACGCACACTCTGGCCACTTATTCGCAAATCAGCTGCCAGGAAAGAGCAAACTTGTGTCGATTTTAATTGGATTAAAATCTATATTAAATCAGTAATAGGATAGCTACAGTTCGAGGAAATCTATGGTAATTCAACTGCAGGTATCACTGAATAGTGAATTTTCCCAAGTTTATTTTAGCTTGTAATTTAAAGGATTGGTTTTATTAAACAGCTAATTCTTGAGTAAAAGATATTTTTGTATAGGAATTCTCAAGTAAAATAAATTACAGTTTACTTTTAAGCATAGCAACAAGTGAGTTCAAATCGCATTTGATATTTACAATAAATTCATTATTCTAGAGTACATATATCATATATTATTATATGAATTTTAAATATATTTTTAGTTATAATATGAATAAATCAACAACAAAAATAAATCCTGTACTTGTATAGCTAGCATGCTGAACCCTTAAGAGTTACCTGTATGAAATATGGCCACTCAAGTTAATTTGATTACGAAATTCTATTTGTAAAGTTCGAGTTCAAGGAGCTGGACTCCAAATATATACATACATATATAAATATATATATAAATATATGCATGTCTGATGTTGTGTGTGTACACAAATATAGGATTGTTCCCCATGTTCCAGCCAGTAAGTATGCTACGCTTTGCGAACTTCTCGCTTTTCGCTCCTGGATTTATTGAACAAAAAATGTTTCGCTTGCCTAAACTTTTAATAAACAGTAGACAACCGCTAAGTCATAACATATTATTTAAACACGTTAGTTTTAATTTTATTTATTGACTAAAAACTACAAGCAAGAATGATTTACTGCTAGCTAAATTAACAAGGATTGTCCTAAGGACTTAAACATTTAATTCTGGCCTGGTCATAAAGTATAACTACAACTTAACTATACTTTTTTTTATCGAATGGCCACTGTAGCCGAATATGTTTCGCGTCTGCTTTTGCTCTCAGAAAAAGGGACGCGAAATCATTTCACTTTCGCACCTTCTACGCATCAACGCCAATAACAACAACAAATCACACACACACACACGACACGCACACAAGTGGCTAAATTTGTGTGTACGTATGTATATGATATGTAATTGGTATTTGCCACTCCTGCTGTTCTTGTTCTTGTTTTCGCCATATATTTTTGGTTGTTGTTGTTGTTTTTTTGTTTTTGTTTTGGGGAATAAAGTGGAAAAGGCAAGGACCGACTACTCACCGCTGTTGACGTCGCCTGTGACGTTGGCAGCGCTGCCGGCGCCGCCGCCACTGAAACTGTGTAACATATTCATCTGTATTAGTGGATGATGGACGCTCCTGTCCTGGTGTCTTGCTCACTCGCACTGGCCCTTGTCCTTGCTCTTGCTCTGCTTCCCTTCTTTTGCTCTCGCTCTCGCTCTCTCTCTCTTTGTCTCTCTTTGTTGTTTCCTTTTGAATTTTTGTGGTATAATTTTTGTGGCAAGTGTAATTTCCTCTCTTCGCTCGTTTTCTTTTTGTTTTTGCCAGCTGCTTTCTTTTCTTATCTTTTCTTCTCCTTTGTTTTCTATTACTTTGGCTTTGCTCTCCTTTTGTTAACAAAGAATTGTGGTATCAAAAAAATTTCCTTTTAGATTCGTTGTCTTGTATTTTTGTTTTCCTTTTTTCCTTTTCTGTGTTGCTTGTGGCTGTTGTTGCTACATTTTTACTACTACGCACGCACACACGCGACACACACACACACTTATATAAGTGAGAAAATAACAAAGGCAACAACAACAACAAGGGGTGTGTGTGTGTGTGTGTGCTTGTTATTTGCAGTCGTAGTTTTAGTAGTTATTCACATTTTTGTTGCATACTTTCTGGGCGCTCTCTCTCTCTCTCTTTTGCACTCCCTGCGGTTCTTTGGTGTGCGTGTATATCTACTGGTGATTTGTTGTTGCAAACGCTTTAATATTATTAGTTACAATTACAATTTAAATTCAATTTATTCATTTGATTTAGCTTTCAGCCCTGCTGTGTGCCGTCAGTTACTTATTGTTATATTTTCCGCCTCCCGGCTAGTGTTGCCAATTCGTAGGACAGCTAAGCTAGCCTTTGGAAAACGCTTAAATAAGCCAAAAAAAAATTGTGATGGTGGCTAAAAAATCTACAGAAGATTTTTTTAATTCCTTCGGACGCAACCGTCTGCTTGCGCGTTTCGATTTGGACTGAATCCACAAGGTCCACAAGGCATATCTTAAATCAGTGTTGCCAGTTTAGCTTTTTTTGGGCTATATCTAGCATACATATTTCACAAATGGAAGAGTTTTCTTTTAAATTAAACTCATAAATTCATAATTCAAAGTCAACCATACACTAGTAATAATTTTATTTGTGAAATCAATGATTTATTGAATTTATCTGATTTTAAATATAAAAACTTGTATAAAAAATTAGTGGCAAAACAGAAAAAAAAAATAATGTATAATAAATATTGCAAATAATTTTCCTTAATTTCTGAAAAACTGTATTACCAACACCCACAATCCTTTGCCTCCATCAAAATTTAAAATTTACAATTTATTTATGTCTTGTTTGCTGCAATTTAGGGATAATGAGCCCTGACCATAGCATATCTATCGATAAAAGGACATCTCGACGTTAGGGCTTTCACCCCATTGTTGATTAATTAGAGATATTAATTATAAATATAAATATTATACATATAAATAGGGGTTTTCACAAAATGTGGATTTCCTAAAATGTTTCTGTTGAAATAAAACAAATTATTAAGTTTTTACAAATAGATTTTATTGTGTTGTCTTTGTTTTTTTTTTACCTTTCAAAGGTTTAAGACACTGGCAAGAGGTATGCGCTTACAAAAATTGCTTAAGCTATTTGTGAATGTTTGTTGAAGTATTTCTAAGAAAAATGTAAATCCAAATATTTTGTATTAAACATATTTATAAAATAATTATTAAAAAGTTTTGAGATTTAACAAAATTAAACATTTTTATAAATATTTTTTTTATATTTCCTTTTGAAATATATATTTGAATACAATTATAGCCAGTTTCAAAATTATGGATGGAATATGGTGTACTATTTTTGGCAATAATTTTTACCCTGATATAAATCTAACCACTTTTGCGGATTACTGCGTGCTACTCACTCCGCCAGAACGACATCGCCGCAGGACATGTGCTGCTCCTTGCCGTCGGCCTCCTCGTTTGCCTTGGCCACCCTGGTAATATAAATGCCAAACCGCATGCGACCCTTTTGGAGGCGGGAAATTGTGGTCAGCGTCTCCGGGGATCGTTCGCCGGTCCGTTGATTAATACATATCATATCGCAACGCTGACAGGGACCCTCCACTCGAAAATGCACCTGCCCAATGGTGAGCTCCTGGAAGGAGAGCTCCTCAAAGGCCGAACCCGTATCAATGATAATATTGGCCCGGAAACGATCCACAGTCTCGTCGAGATCCTCTTCGAACCGCAGGGATCGCACAGACGAGCGGTTCACCAGCAGGAATTGAGCCTGATTGACCAGACTCAGCTTCTGCTGATCCTTGGACGAGTTCCTGTGTCCCGATTGCCGGAGCAAACGCAGACCCTCCAGTCCAAGATTTTCACTTAGCCACTGGGCAACGATTTCGCCACAATCCAAGCCGTTCACAGGCTGCCGACACACCTTGCTGACGCACTTGGCCGAGTCAGCCGCCTGGTCCTGCAGGGAGAGGGGCACCGACACTGAAGAGTCACCAAAGTGCAGCTCCAGAAGATCCTCGGTAATCACCGGCCTGATCAAGCACAGTTCCGTGCAGCGTTTCTGGGTGAGAGCCATGCCATTCATGTCCACAATCATCCACTCCCTGTCGTACTTTAAGCCCTGCTCAGTCAGGGGCCACGACTCACCCGGCGAACTAATCTTGAAGGCGGCACAGGACTTGACCGGATATATGGCCATTTGTAGGAGTTTTGGCCGCAGCCTCTGGACACGTTGCTTCAGAACCGGCGGCAGTTGTTCCGCCTGCTCCTCGATGAACAGAATCCGCTGGTGCGGCTTGCTGGCCACATAGCTAGAGCGCAGCATTTTCAGCAGCTCGTCCACATCCTGGCGCGTGGTCATATAACCAAAAGACACACGCACCGCTCCCGTGGGCTGGCCATCAATGAGATCGTAGTAATCGCCGCATATGCGACCAGCTCGCTTGTAAATCGCATCCATGGCTTCCTCATCCAAACCCAAATAGTATTGGCAGGCTCCAATATTGCAGAAGCAGCCGGTGCGTAGGAGAATCCCATGAAGGGCCGCCACGCAAGCAATCTCGCCAAAGCCCACAAAAGAACCGGAATCTGTGCGTACATTAAAGGCAACGATGCCGCCCTGCCGGCTCTTGTCCTCGTAGCCAACTTTGTTGTACAATTGAATGAGGGGTTCGCCATTGGGATGCTGCAGTTGCTTCAGCTGGTCCTCCAGGTACTTGGCCAAGCCGTGAACATGCCTGGAGATCCTTTCCATGGTTGTTAAACCCTCCATTCTGGGCACCAATCTCTCCAGCGTGCGAAAGCCCTCAAGCAGTCCCACAATCGCCAGAAAGGGCAATGTCCCATCCTCGTATCGCTGGTGAAAGGACTCCCTCAGCTGGTGGTCCATGGCATGCGGATAAGCATAGTTGATGGTACCGCCACCGAAAAATCTTCGCTTTCCAAAGGCTTCGGCTCCCCGCTTGCTTACTAGCAAAGCGCCCACACCCGTGGGATAGCCAAATATCTTGTAGAAACTAAGGCACACATAATCGGGCTGGTATTTCTGCAGATCCAAGGGACTGGTGGCCACAAAGGAAGCGGCATCAAGACAGACATAGTAGTTGCTATTATCAATGTCATGTGATTCCTTCTGAGAAGTCCAAATTAGTTTTCCAGGTTGGCTTAGGCCATTTCTTTGGATGTTTCCAATGGCCTCCAGTGGGATTTTGTAGCCACTAAAGTTGCACTGGGCGGAGAAGGTCACCAGGGAGCTGCCGCTGGCTGTCCTAGGGGATTCTCCATTCTGCTGGCTTAATTCACCAGAGATCTCCTTTTCCGTCAGCATATAAATGCCAGTGGCCTGGACCCTTTCCCTCATGCCCAGAACCGAGGTGTGATTCTCCTGGCAAAAGTGAAAGTTACCCGACGAACCAAAGTCAAAATTCTCAGCCACCAAAGACAGGGCAGCGGTGGCATTTGCTGTGAAGATCACATGGTAGTCCTCGGCGGTGGTGTTGAAGAATTCCAAGATCCTATAAGGAAGTTACATGGGAAAAGTCAAACCTCTAATATATTCCCCCCTGTAGAGGGCACTCCAATGACACTGGACACGGTTGAGAGCACACTCACTTGAATCGCACCTGGTCCACAAAGTCACCGGTGAGGCGGCAGGTGTGCGGATTGCAGAAGACATTCCGGCGCAGTTGCTCCGCGGCGGCTGTCACCTGGTTCTCAGCATACAAGGTGGTGCCCGCATGATCCAGGTAAATGCTCTTGTTGTCTGAAAGGAACGAATAAATAACCAGTAGTTGTTATCTGTTTACAATGCGAGTATTTCACCATGATTTCGTTTACCCCCGTACCCCGCCCCGCCCCTGACCTAGCACTTACTGGCCAATCTAGAGAATTCTGCGTCGATGTTCGATTGCTCCGATTGTGTGAATTCCGGGCGATATGACGACATGTTGGGAACTGTTGAGTGCGTGGGGCTGGGAGTTGGGTTTTATTTATTTCGAGGCCGGGAGCCGGCATGCAATAATTGCGGCAAAAGTGATGGCATACTCTTTCCAGGGTAAAAAGTAATATCAGTATTTGCATTCGTTTGGTAAATAACAAAAGTTTTACTCTAACTTTACATTTCTTAGACTCTTATTTTTAAGGGAGTTTTTTTTTAATGACTTATTTAATGTGTTTTGTTTATAAAATTTATAATTTTATCCCCTGAAAACGATTTTATATTTAGTTTAGGGTATTTACTAGTCGATATGTGAGTTTTTATTTTATTTTGATCAGCTGTTTGTAGTAGTGTTGGGTAAGACACCAACTGCCCAATGTTTTTGATTTAAAATTCTTTATTTTTATTTACCAATTAATTATAAATTAATTTTATTAATAAATTTAGAAATAATTTAGCTATTTTCAATTGCAAATACGTTTATTTCAAATGTTTTCAATCCCAAATATTTTTTAAAAATGCTCACCAGTGTTGCTTAATTCCCATTTAATTTATCGCTTGCTATCGATAACATGATTTTATGAAGCCCCATCTCTAGCGCTGTTTGGTGTGTCTCTTTTGTTTTGATTTCACAATTTGTTGGATTGGTTTGATTTATTGTACAAAACTGCGCCAAACACAATGCCCAAGGAGAAATCCAAGTCCCGACATCGAAGTCGCAGTCGCGAGCGGAGAGATCGGAGTCCGGACCACAAGAGCAGTCGCCATAGAGAGCGGGAAACGGAGAGAGATCGAAGGGACAAGGACAAGGAGCGTGATCGTCGCCGTGAAAGGGACCGCAGCCGGGAAAAGCGCAAGGAACACAAAAGCAGCAGCAGCAGCAGCCGAAAACGACGCTCCTCATCTTCCTCCTCCTCCTCCCGCACCGGAGGCCCCAAGTCGCCGCTGGCCAAGAGTTCAATGAAGCTGCTGCAAACGCTGGAGGCGCGTCGCCTGCGGGAGCAGCAGGATCGCCAGCGGAAGAAGGAGGAGCTAAAGGCCCAGGAGACGCCCGAGGAGAAGCGATCTCGACGCTTGCGCGAGAAGCAGGCCAAGGAGCAGCGTCGCCGCCAGCGAATGGGCTGGGACAATGAGTACCAAACATACTCCAACGAGGACAATCCCTTTGGCGACTCCAATCTCACCTCCACATTTCACTGGGGCAAGAAGCTGGAGGTGGAGGGTCTATCCAATCTCTCGACCAAAACCGTGGAGGTGCTGTCGCTGCAAAAGCAGCTGGAGAACCGGCGCGAGCTGGAGAAGGTGAAGAAGCGACGCCAAGAGCGCGAACTGGAGCGGCAGGTGCGCGAGGACGACATGATGATGCAGCAACGCGCCAAAGAGGCGGTCCAGTTCCGTGAGTGGCAGCGGCAGGAGGATCAGTTTCATCTAGAGCAGGCACGCCTGCGCAGCGAGATTCGCATCCGTGATGGCCGGGCCAAGCCCATCGATCTGCTGGCCCAGTATGTGGCCGCCGGCAATGCTCCGCTCGAGGAATCCCTCGAAATGCAAATGCACGAGCCCTACATGCTGCTCAATGGCCTGCCCATGGAGGAGCTGGAGGATCTGCTGGTGGACATCAAGGTGTACGAGGAGCTGGAGCAGGGCAAGCATATTGATTTCTGGAACGACATGATCACCATTGTGCAGGATGAGCTGCAGAAGCAGCAGAAACTGCTGGCCGAGGGCAATGCCCTAAATCAACGGCGAGATGGCATCCATCAGAGTGTCGTCAAGGATGTGGCCGATATATTTAGGGGCAAGAATGCCCACCAGCTGGAGGAGATGCGTCAGCGCATCGAGGCCAAGATCAGCGGTCGAGCAGATGGCGTGGACATCAGCTACTGGGAGAGTCTGCTCTCGCAGCTCAAGGCGCACATGGCTCGGGCTCGCCTACGCGACCGTCACCAGGCGCTGCTCCGCGAGAAACTGCTGCTGCTCAAGAAGGAGAACGATGACGAGACGCAGGTGGGGCAGGAGGATATGCCGCAAGTCAAGAAGGAGGAGGAGGATGAAGCAGAGATGGAGACCCAGGAAGCCGAGAATCCAGAAGATGGAGATTCCGCCGAGGAAGATCCCCTCAAGGAGCTACGCGATGCAGCGCGTCTCTACCAGGCGGGCAACTACAGTCCGCGCTATATACGCGAGGAGGACTTCACGGGACGGAGGCTTCAAAACGAAGACGACGACGATGTTGAGGGCGAAGGTGCCCTGTATGAGGAGGAGGATGACGAGCGGCGGATACAGCGTCAACGCCTGCTGGTCCTACATCCGGAACGCGTCGACACCAACCAACTAACGCCACAAGAGCTTCGCATGCGTAACGAGGCGCGCCAGGGTATGCAGGGCGACGAGGCCGAGTTCAGTGTGGAAACCACCCTGGACGCTGTGCCCCAGCTGGCCACAGATAAGTATCGTCCCCGAAAGCCCAGATACTTTAATCGTGTCCACACCGGCTTCGAGTGGAACAAATACAATCAGACGCATTATGATATGGACAATCCGCCGCCAAAGATCGTCCAGGGCTACAAGTTTAACATCTTCTATCCCGATCTAATGGACAAATCACAGACGCCGCAATACTTTCTCACTCCCTGTGCGGACAACGGTGACTTTGCCGTGCTGCGGTTCCACACGGGGCCGCCGTACGAGGATATTGCCTTCAAGATCGTCAATCGGGAGTGGGAGTTTAGCTACAAGAGGGGATTCCGCTGTCAGTTCCACAACAACATCTTCCAGCTGTGGTTCCACTTTAAGCGGTATCGCTACCGTCGCTAGGGTGTCTAGAGAAGCTGGAGAAAAGCAAGTACCTCTCATTATTTTATTATAACTATTTTTTTGTAGTGCTTGTAAAAGTTCAAAATAAAGTGTGAGAATAAAGTGTGAACAGTGTTTTGAAAATATACCCCATACACCCCTTACATCACGCTGCAGTCCTTGATGGGCTGCTCCAGGACCGTCTCCACGGGCTCTCCCCGCTCTGCGCGCCGGACCTGGGCCAGAACGCTGTCGTGTTGCGGAAAGGCCAGGCAGGCGAGCTTCGAGTGAACCAGGTGGCCGTCGATGGCCACCTCGAAGGAACCGCGACGTCCTTGCCGGCAGGCAATCTCCACCTCGGGACTGGCGGCCAGGAGGAACTGGCGCAGCAGCTGGCACTGGCCGCTGAAGTTGCAGATTCCGCTGCACAAACAACACGCAGGAGATGTCATTGGCTGCTCGTCCCAGCTGGGGCCAAGGGTACTCACCAGTATTCCACATCCACCTTGACCATTGATTGCATAAATGTGTAAATAATTGCAAATAACAACTAACAGCTGTGGAGAGTGACCAGACTGCGCGAGGATAGCGGTCAATGTGGCGGACTTTTTAAAACGATTTCAAAAGTGAAAATACGTTAAAAAACCACAAAGTAATATGTTTTTTTCTAATTTCACAGTTTTTAAAGCGCAATTGAATTCATTTCATCAAGTTTACTTTTAGCTCTTCTTTCTTAAGCCAAACCAAATTTATATTCACAAAACTTAAGCATTTTGAATGCAATTCTGGCTTAAAACTAATTAGAATGTGTTTGGTTTCGGTGTGCTTTGTTGTCAACCCTTGCTGGCCCTGGCCCTGAGCAGCGTTTTACAGGCAGCACTGTGCGTTTTCAAAGGAAGTTCATCTAAAAAGAGAAGCCTTTAGCAAACCAGTTAACGGAAAACAAAGCAAAAGTCCTTACATATTTTGTGATCGCCCTTAACGGGCAGCAGGATATTAAGCTGTTCGGGCTTAGAGCAGACAAAGACATATGGGCTGTCCGATTCCCCATTGGGATATATCTCCCTGTACTCCTCCTGCGGCAGACAGCTGTCCACATGAACGCAGCCCAACAGACTAGCTGTGGGATAATGACTGGGAAAGTTAATATTGGGATCTGGAAGAGGATCATATTATTATATATTATAATATTGCAATTTATAGGGATTTACCATCATAAATCATGCGATAAAACTCCTCCATTTGGGCAATATCTTCAGCGTGGGCTTCCTTGGAGGTGGAAGCAATCCACAGTCGTCCGCGGTGTTCGCTATACCAAACTCGGCCTTCATGTCTGCATAAAAAAAAGGTTATAAGTTAACAAGTTAACAATTAAAGCTTAAAATTTCTATTACTTTTTAATTCCCGCCACCAGAAGAGATGCCCAGGGCTGATGCATTGAAAGGCACTGGCGCATATCCTGCATTTCCAGCAGCTCCTTGTCCTGCACTCGATTGTAGATCTGCTCTAGTCCATCGGTGGCCGATGCCGGTGCTGGCCAGCTCTTTGCCTCCTTGCTGGCCTTGTATACAGGCGGCTTGGTCATATCCAAAATGGGCGCCAAAGCCATAGCCGAGTGTCCGGTAAGGGAGGAAGAGCTCCAGTTAGTTGCACCGCCCGCTGCCTTGGTTACAGCCGCCAGTTCATTGATCACTTGCTGTTCGTACTCCTTGGAAACGGGCAGATCCTCTGGTAACTCACGGCCAGCAAAGTCTACACGAATCTTGCGATTCAACCGACTGCCGTGCTTCATTTCGTGCATTTCGCCCTTAAGCTTCTCAAACTTTTCGCGCTCCAACTTGCTCAGCCACACGGAGTTTTCCTAGAATAAAATTGTATAAATTTATAATTTTTTAAGGTTTTTTTTGAAAGGCAATAATCGCACCTGGAAGTAATCAAGCTCATCATCAATGACCGTCGTTCTCTTTTCGCTGTTCTTGTCGTACTCCAGCAGGCGATCCCTTTGGGCTAGTGCCTTATCGAGGGATTCCTTGGCAGCAGCTTCTTTGGCTGCTGAATCCTTACCTGAATCCTTGGATTTCTTGCCCTGTTTGGTGGCGGGCTTGGCATTTGGCTTGGCCTCACGCGCCGCCTTGGCCAGCCGCATCATCTCCTCGGTTGTAAAGACGGACTCGCCGCAGAACAAGCAGGGACCGGAACCCTCCTGTTCGCACACAATCCGGCCGCAGCCCATGCAATTGTTGATCAGCTTGTGCTGCGCCGCCTGGCATTCACAGGAGCGGCGGCCCTTTAGCAATATGGTGTCGCCCAAGACTTTTCCATCGTTGGCATACAAATTAACAAATTTTCCCGGCTTTGCTTTGACCCCACTGTTGCTACTGCTGCCGCCTCCTTTGACCGGCGTTGTGGACGTCGGCGGCTTGCTGCTGCTCTTGCCATTGTTTCGGGGCTGCTTGCCACTGAGAAGCATTCGGCGGCAATTGAGCAGGAATAGGCGGTGTTCCTCGTTGTCTTCGCTCAGTAAATTACCAAAGTAATTGTCGAATTCATAGTCATCTTTAATGTTTAGGATTGCCCTAAAAATAACAACAAAATTAATGTCACTCCTGTTATTCCGGAGATTCGGTTACATACGACATCATTTGGTCTGTGACCACGCAATCCAGTATTTTGGACAACGAGTCCCGCACGAATTTCTCCATTTTTTATTTTGTAAACCAAATATTTTAACACAATTGTGAAATTGTTCGGAAAATACTTCAAAAATCAACGCAGGCAAATGTAAATCAGCTGTTCGCAGTGTTGGCTAACACTGAAATAATTTGTTAACATAGCCTTAGACTTAACAGCACTGTTATTTAATAAACCAAGTCTGTTGTACTCAGTGCTGGAAAATGTAAAAGAAAAATAATTTAAATCTCTAATATTTCGCATTTTTATTAGTTATAGTTAAATAAATTTATTTCTTAGCATTTATGTGTTTTAATGTGTTCACTGTTTGTATATTTTGAGAAAAAATATAATTTTTATATAAATATATTTTTAAATTCCAATCTAAGGTCTTTCATATATTTTTTAAGGAATATCATAAATAGGTTTTATTATTAATTAATTTAATTTATTAATATATTTTCCTAAATAACGGGTTCGGATCCTAGAATTAATGCTGTTAAGAGATCCTAACAGGCCCCACAGCTGTCTTAACAGCTGTTCTCTGCCACAATTACACGGCAAATTTAGTATGTCTGCTGTGCGGCATTTTCGAATTGGCGCGACCGGGCACACTGGAACCGAGAGCAAAGTAAATTGCTGTGATTGTGATATTTTAACAAAAATCGAGCGTGGCGTGCGTGAAATTCGTTTTGTAAATAATATTCTAAGCCCTTTTCGCCCCCGTAGCGGCATCGAACAAATGTGCTAGTGAAAGGTGGCTGACGGTACTGACGCCCCTCTCCCCTTGCTAACCACCCGCCCCCTCAAAGAACAACAACGAACACAACAAAACTGGCAGAAGCAGCAGCAGCAGCCAGGGCGCGAGCGAAGGAGAAAGGGAGAAGAAAAAAATCAAAGCGACGCCTTCCTTTCAGATTCATCCCTTTCTCTTTGCTCTCTTTTATCACCTATCTCCTGTCTGCCATCTTCTCGTTATTTGCAAAAAAGTGGCTATTTTTTTCTAATTTTTTTACTGTTTGTTGTGTGTTGCTGGTTGGCGGTACCGTTGTAACGGTATTCCATAATAATTGTTATTGTTGTCCGCCAGTTTTGTTGTTGCAAATTATTGCGTGTGAAATGTCTCTTGCTCGTTCTGTCTTTGTCGCACTCCCCGTGCCGCATTGCTCTCACCTGCAGTTTATGCATTGCCGCAAAATCGAGATTTATTCTAGATTTTAATCGCGAAAATTAATGAAAATACACTGAGAGATGAAGTGATATACTGGGTCTTGCTAAATTGAAAATAAAAAGCAAAAACTAAAAAAAACGTTTATTCAGCAATAATATTCTTAGAAGTCATACGAAATTCCGCGAAAAAGCCTAGCAGGTTTTTTCTGTTGAATGCGACTTGTCTAACCTTACCAATGATAAGAAATTCTACACAAAAAATATTGATAACAATCAAATGAAAAACAAGGATTATTAAATAAAAAAGTGACAACAAATTGTACAATAAATAAAAACTAAAATATCAATACAAATCATATTACTAATTTGTAAATTGTACAGAGAAGTGCGAAATTCCAGTGCAAAAATAAACTTTTCGCAGCGCATAAACGTGTCTGTGTTTGTGTTTGCCTGCTGCGACTCTTCTTCTTTTTCTCCTAGTGCTTCTTCTTTATTTCATGTACGCCACGCAGCGACATCGCATCGAATTACCTTTTTGTTTTTATTGTTGTTGTTGTTATTTGTTTTGTCTGTTTTTTTGTTGGCGTCTTTGCTTTTTGTTTCTGCATTTCGTTTTCTTGCCTCAGTTGCTTACGTGTGTGTGTGTGCGTGTCCCTAAAACAACCAAAAATAGCCAATAATAACAATAACAATGCATCGGCGAGAGAGCGCACACAGAACGAGAGAGAGATGTGGAGCAAGACACTAACAAGCAAGAGAGAAAGCACATCCTTAACCGGCAAACCTTTCACCCCCGCATACAAAAAAAAGAACTAAAAAAAACAGCTGACAGTTTCTATACAAAAAAGAGTAATTACTGAAATTACTTAAATTGAAACAATTACCGGAATCATATACATCAAAAAGATACAAAATCCTTTTTAATTTATATAAATAAAAAAGAGTTTAATATCAACTTTCCGCTCGCATTTATAGTAAATATTCCCTTTTATAAACAATTAAAAATTAAACGCCTGAAGGAAACCAATATCAATCAAACTGGAACCAAGCAATAAAAACAAATGCTTAGCAAGTCTTCGTGAAAAATTAAAAAACTAAAAGCTGGAAAGCTGAGAAACAGAAAACAAAGAAATTACCGTGAGACTTGGAATTACAAAACACCATGTATCGCATTAGTCCAATTGGACGCAAATCGAACTTCCATTCGCGCGAGAAATGTCTGATTGGACTCGTGCTGGTAACCCTGTGCTTCCTCTGCTTCGGCGGCATTTTTCTACTGCCGGATAACTTCGGCAGCGACCGGGTCCTGCGGGTCTATAAGCACTTCCAAAAGGCCGGACCAGAGATCTTTATACCAGCCCCACCCATCGAGGGCCACGGCCATGCTCCACATCGCAGCGAGGATCCCCACTTTATTGGCGATCGCCAGCGGCTCGAGCAGAAGATCCGTGCAGAGCTTGGCGACATACTGGACGAGCCACCAGCCGCTGGCGAGGCTCAGGCAGTGGCCCAAGCCCAAGCCCCGGCTCCGGTGGCCGCTCTCATGGACCAACAGGATCGGGAACAGGAACGGGATGGCGGTGGCGAGGATGGCCAGCATGCGGCAATACCCGTGCTAGCAGCACCCGTTCAGGGCGGTGACAGTGCAGTGGGAGGACCCAGTCAGCCAATAGTGAATGCCCAGAGCCCCGCCCAACCGGTGCACTTGCCGCTGGGAGGGGGTGGCAATGATCAGGCGCCAGATTCGTTGGATGCCACGCTGGAAGAGCGACGTCAGAAGGTCAAAGAGGTGAGTGATTCGGTTTTTATTACTTAAAATGCATACGAGATGTAGTTTAAAGATCAATTGAAAAAGATTTTGTATATCTGTGATCATTTAGAAGATTATTAGATCAAGGGAACAGAGCAAATAGATCATATAATATTGGTTTAATTACAAGGGTTAACATATATATTTTTAATGGAATATAGAATATTTTTTTATTATTATTTTAAAAGGATATTGGTTTAAGGGAATTTTTTTTTGTAGTATTTTAATTAGGGAAATATAATTATTATAATAAAATTCTTTAAACCAAAGAACGGGCGGATTTCTGTAGCTTTTAAAAATTAAATAATTAAGAATTTAAAATGAGAAATAAACCCATGTTTTTAGCTAATAGATCCCCCGTTCTAAATGAGCTCCTGATCCGAAATGCCCACTTTAGTACCAGCAAGTGTTCACCTCTCTCTGAGGGGTTATCGCTCTGTCTTGCGCAACTCAGCTCGTTTTCCTTTTCTTCTTTTTTTTTATTTTTTTTTTTATTTTTTTTTTTTTTTTTTTTTTTATGCCATTTTTTTGTTGCCACGCATATTTTTCATTGCTCTAATTTGGCATTTATTTATTTAGTTACCCAGTCTCTCTGTGTGTGTGTATTTTTTCCGTATTTTTTCTTATTTTGCAACGTGGGCAATTATCAGCATTCCGCTATTTGTGCTTCCTCTAGAGACCCCTCTACCCCTCAGCGATGTGATCCCCGCTCTCTCTTTCTGGCTGGGCTTCCGCCACAATCAGTGTCGCCTAATTGTTTATGGAGACGCCAAGAAAAAAATGTAAAAAAAAAGAGACTAATGTCGCCCCAAAAATGTTTGCTACTGGTTTAACCAATTTGATGAAGAGATTTAACGAAAAGGGTTTATGCGCACAGATCATATCACAAACAGTATTATAAATCTACCCCAGAATTCTATCCAGATAAAACCTTAATTTGTAACCAAATCAATTAACGCACTCATAAATTCTACAGCAAGTTTGCAAGTCTTGATTTGTTTGTTCATGCTGATTCCCTAGTTTTTAGTTTTTTTTTTGTGCTTTGCTTTGACGATCCCCAGTGACCCAGAATCGGTTGCTTGTGGCCTGAGGCGGTGAATAGAAAATACAAATCTTTTGGGACTAATCATTAAAATCGGCAACAACAACAACAATAATAGACATCTCATGAACATGGAGAGGGAAACCAGAATGAAATGAAAAGAAAAAATACAAAAAAACAACAACAAAATGTGATTCAAGCGTCGATCGTTCGTCTTCTCTTTTGTTTTTTCTTTCTTACTTTTTGCCTTCACATCATTCTCTGTATTTGTTCTAATTTATTGCACTAAAATAGTGAAAAATATTCGCGCACAGCAAACAAAAGGCAAATCAATTGCTTTGAGGTTTTATTTTTGTTTCTATAGAATATCAACTTATTTTCCGTATTCGTGGCTTTTCCATTAGTCATTTTAATTAAATTCAAGTGAATGGGCATACCGATCAAGCTTCAATTGGCACTGGAATCTCTGCAAATAATTTCCAGTTCCCAGTTTCGCTTTTTTTGAGTTGAAGTAACGAATGGCATTTCGATCTCTCTGGCCTTGCCTCAGGGTGTTTCCCCTTCTTGGCTTTAATTAATCCGATTTCGTTTTCATTTCTTTTCTGATTCCCGAGATTCTTGGTATCATTGTATCTTTGTATCTTTATGTCTTGTTGTTTCCCCTATTTATCACAGTGCGGTAATTAAAGGGTAAATGTCGTTTTTTTGGGGTAACTTGTTCTTCAAGTGGCTGAGACATATCAGTTTATCAGTTTTTCTATACAATTTTGCATTTTTTTAATAGCTTCTGATTGTAATATAAGGTTTTTTTAGGCTATTTATCAAATATATTTTTTTAATTTTAAAATAATTGAAAAATTATACAATTTACATTAATTTCTCTTCATAATCATGATGTAGTAATGAAATATACAGTAAACGTTGTTTAACATTCTTTCTTTACCATCAATGATTGTGGAATACATGTATAAGAGCCTAAAACCAACTTAAAACCAATTTAAAACCAACTTAAAACCAACTTAAAACCCAACTTAAAACTAACAGAAACCCCCACTCTTAATACCCATAACTACTTATTTGTTTTGTAATTCTAAACTCTGAAAACTAAATCAATAAACCTGACAAATGGAGACAGAACCTCCACACCCCATATACCATTGATTCCTCCATATGGCCTTATGAGTAGATGACATGTAACATGCAGCATGCAACACGCAATTTGTGTGCAATGGGCAAAGGCAGATGGAAATTTGAAACACTACTTAGTGGCACGGTTGACAGCGCCTGCCAGCGACGGTTCACTCAACGAACCATTTAAACACGCATTAAAAACCCATCATCAGATGGCATGGACAGACAATCTGTTCACTTGACCATATTACTATACAATACATACCTATTTATTATACAAAGTACGCGCACAACATTTATAAATATATATGTATAGTAATTTCAATAACTTTCAGGGCTAGTTGAGCATTAAATTTGCGTCGAAATTGCAATGTTTAGGCCATTTCAAGCTGTTTAATTGTGATGGCCAGACCAAATCGATGATTTCTTTGATTTCTTTTTTATTTATATGCAATTAAAATTCCCATGTATCGAAGACATTATATTATAGATTGTATATAGTTTTATTTGTTAATCAACAGATTTATAAAACATAAGTTTTATAGCTGGGTAGGAAATGACCTTGAAGACCAAGGCTTTTCTTTAAACATGTATAAAAGATTACTGTAAGTCTAAACTTAAACCCATAAGTCCCAGTAGTTTATTTATTATTAAGTAAATTTCTTAATTTCCTAAAGAAAATAGGTTTAACTGCTTAAAAAATAGTTTTTTATATATATTTAAAATCTATAGAACCATACCAACTGTTCTTGGCCAAAAATTGTTAACTTCAAAGCGAAGCATAAAAATTTGTACAACTTTTCCATTCAAGCCACTAGTTGCTGCGTGTTTTGTGGGCGAAAAAAGAAAAATAATAGGGAAAGTGGAAAAGGGGGGTAAGGGGGCTTGGCCTTAGAACAATGTTGACCCATTTTGGGTGAGGTCTCTTTGTTAATTTAGTCATTGCGAACATATTTACATTGAGTGCAGCGGCGACGACACTGGCACTACGTCTATTTAAAAAGTGTACAATTAAAGTTATCTAAATTGAACGAAAGTCTGACATCTGACTCTGAAATTATGATAGGAAAATTTATCAGAACATTTGAGCATAGGAATTTTATTAAAACTTAAGGGTCTCCACATTAAAATTCATTATAAATGATTATAAAACTTATTTTATTTTTCATAATTTAAACAATAACACCCATATTTACTATATATTTTCACCTATGTTGATTCAGTTTATTTTCAATATTTATATTAATTATCACTTGTGTTTTTTTATTTTTAAACAATAAACAAAGAAAGCCGGGGACACGGTTCCATGTGCCTGTCTTCTGAACTCTCCATCTGGTTCGTACTCCACCTTCTCCTCCCCCAATTTGGGCTCGGCTTTCACCAAATATCGTGCTATGCATACAAAAAAGTGAAATGGAGAAACATGGGGAGGTGGAATATAAAGAATAGATCCGAAATAGAAGTGAATGTGTCAATAACCGTGGGGCTTTTTCGGGCTTGCCACAATCGGTGGCATTATTCCGTTTGCTGACAGTGACTCACAATTACGAAAAAATAAATGTATGGAACATACCAAGCATATCTATATACATAGTTATGTGTTTGCCCATTGTCATTATCATGTTTATCGAGCGCAACAACATACAGTTGTTTTCATTTTAAATACACATACATTATTGAGGATGTAGCCATGATTTTATCTAAGCTTCGACAACGCTGAAGTGCCCAAAAGAATTGTTTTAAATGGATTTAGGATAATTAAGAGGTTGTATTAAAAGGCATAGGTCTTGATTTCTTCAAAAAAAATTATATACAAGTACTGGCTATTGTTTAAAAAAACAATCTGTTAGTAATTCCAAAACATGTGTACATTTCAGCGTCTAGTTTATAAATAGCCAAAAATAAATGGCCTCAAATTTTTTTGACAACGAGTATATAAAACCAAAACCAACAAGTTTCTATATTTTAGTAATGTTTCCAAAGCTAAAATACTTGAAAACAAGTACAGAAAACCGTTTCTGGGATGTTATAAAACATTAAGATAATATTTTGGTATTAAAATAAGCAAATTTTATTAAAACGTTGCTTAAATCAATTTCTTCTTTAATAATAATAATAAAAATAATAAAATGCCACAAGCTCTTAATCTCAACCAACGATTAATAATGCAATTGATTTGATTCCATTTGTGCGGTAACAATTACACATCACTTATAAGGTAGTTCAACTGCAAAAAAAAATTGGAAAAAAAAATCAAACTAATTAACCCACGTATCGCAAGTGGTAGCGTTTATGGTTAACTCACTTGATGAGTTACACAAGTCAATAAAAAACTACAGCAGGTTTTTCAACTCGACTTAAGGTAATAGAAAAGTCATTAAATGCTATGCCCAAAGCTAATGGATTCATTTAAATTTATTTTAAAATCTAAAAAAACAATAGAAATACTATTATTTTCCTAACATAATTTTGCAACATTTCTTTGCAAAACTGCAGTTTTGAAATCATTTAATTTAAAATGGGAACCCTTCTTTATCGAACGTTCAACATCGACTGAAAACTGAAATAAGGGAAATGTTTGCTTAGCTTCAGTGGCACTTTGTTCCAATTTTCACTTTGTTCCACTGCAGTTGTCGTCGCTAAGCTTGCCCAAAAAGCTCATCTATATTTGTTGCAAAGCTTTTCGAGCTTACGCACAATTTTTTTTTTGGCGCCAAAAAATATTGCTGAACGTTGATTGGTTAATACTCAAATGTAGTGTGCGGTTGGAGTACGTTGGTGAAGTTGTTACCTTGAAAAATTATATTTAAAATTAAACAAAAATTATGCTTTTTTATGATTATAACAAGAATTGTTATACATTATTATTAATAATTCTTGACTTGATATTTCTAATTCTTTAAATTCAATATTCTAAAAAAAATTCTTTAAAATATCAGTAAAGAAAGCGTATTGCTAGGTCTGCATGTGCCTAATAGCTCCTTGTTCTTCGACACCACTCGACTTGCAGTCGGGACTCGGGAATCGTTTCGTTTGGGCTTCGTATTTCGTTTTCGGCTCGCTTCGGCTTTCGGTGTTCGGCATTTGGGTTTCGGGAGGGGATTATGGGATGGAGGAGTATCTGGGGGATAGGGTAACTAAGCCATGCTGTCTGGCTGCTCTGCTGCTGCTGATATTTTTGCTGCTGCTGCTGCTGCTGGTAGTGCTGCTGCTTTTCTGGACTTGGGGCTTCTTCTGTTGCCGTTTGGCTGCGGTGCGTTTAATGTCTCGCCTGCGCTGGAAGCGTCAACTCCTTTTTATAGGACGCGCGCCACGCGTCGTATGCGCAACGCCAACCGTAACGTATACGCCACCGTAACGCCACGAATCAAAGCTTCGTTTTATTTACATTGCCATTTTGTTTGTCGGCATCGACGCGGGCCTACGGTACTACGGACGCGACCTCATCATCCCGTCTGTTTTGCGAGTGTTTGCCGCGATTCGCGTGTTTGTGCGTATTTCTGGTTGTTTCTGGTTCGCTTCAAGGCTACACCTGCAGCAGGTGTAATTGTAACTGCAAAATGCAACTGCAGCAGCATCCGTTGGCTACTTTACTGCCGATACGTGCCGACAGTGGTTGCTGATGGCTGAAAAAAATGTTTATAAAATCTATTAAAAATGTTTTTGATTAATTTAAATGGAATATAACATTTTTTAAATTTTCACTAAAAAAATATATAACTGCCTTAAAAGTAAAGTAATTTAGTGTCTTAAAAGACTTGCTAAAAATATTCAAGAAAATACCTTTTAGTTTTGGAATTAATTTTTTTAAATATTGCAAATTTTTAGACATTTTCATTTGGCTTTGGCATATTTTTTAAAATTTATATTACTAAAACGATGCATTTTTTAAATAAGTTTATTACGAGCTAATATATTATAAAATAGTTACAGATTATTTTATTTTATAGGTGAAAATCTAGTTATGCAGCTTAAAATCTATCTAAAAGAGTGTCTAAAAGTATGCTACTATCTGTGTCTTAACTTCAATTTTAATTAAAGCCAGCAATTAGCGAGCGATCACTGTACTGTGCACACTCACAAATTAAGCATTGAAACAACAGAAACAATAGGTTTCCTTGTTGTTTTTGCCGTTGTTCTTGTTGTTGTTTTTGCTACTGTCGTTGTGGCCCAAAAGAAGAGGAAGAAGGCCAACTTATTGTTTGCTTGGCCATTAATTGTGGCCAACGCTGGCGAAAGCGGAAACGGAAGTGCAATGTGTTGATGACACCATCGCTGCCTTTTTTTTCAGTTACTCTGTTTGTTTATTTTTTTTTATTTGTTAACAGAAAAATGCATAAAATGCAGTGACAATGAAAATGAGAAAATACTGCTGTACATGGAAAAACGATACAATTACAATTTATGGTTTCTCTTTGGAAATTAAAACGACAAACTTGCAATGTAAAATCGTTGTAATATTTATAACCTTGCCAAATGAAAATTGTTTTGGTAAATAGTTTGTTTAATTTTTTGTTTTTTTTTTTTTTCGCACAGAATGATAGGAATTCAAGGAATTGTAATAAAATGGAAATTGACTGTTGGCTTTTCCAACAAAAAAGGATTCTTTAGATTGGCAATTTAAATAAAAGTATTTATTGCATTTTCTGTGATTCACAGAAACCCTTTACAAAGAATTTAATTTTCACCAAAGGAGTAAACACTAATAATTAAAAATTCTAGAATATAATAGGTTTTGTATAACCTGGTTGCTATTTTCCTAAATGTTGCATAAAAGTTTGAGATTTTAATCAAGCGAAATTCCACTTAAAATTCTGGGAAAAACAAACCAACTCTGCGGATCCCCCTGAGTAATAATAATAAAAACACAAGAAAAAAAAAAGGAAAAAATAACTTTGCTGGAACTGGGGACACTCTCAGCAGGGTGTCAAAGCAGCAGAAAAAAAAATATAAATAAGAGCTAAAACTAAATAAGAAAAAAAATCCCGCAGCGGGAAAGAACATTTCTTCACACGCGCGAAAATCTCACAGCAGCATTAAATAAAAAAAAAAAAAAAATATATATATATATAATACTAGTAATATAAAAAGGAAACAGGGTGTCGCTGAGTAAGAGAGATAGCTATATAGAAAATGTACAAAAATAAAAACACGTTGAAATTTTTCGCATAAAAATCTCGGTCCTAGACAAACTCTGCATGGGTTTTTATGCGTATGTGTGTGGCCACAAGGGGTTACATTTTTACGTACAAGCACTTGCTTAAAATACACACACACACATACATACACATCCTGAAAAGCGGCTTTCACACATTGAAAGTAACGCATAATGCGTCATTTTTCACTTGAGCATCATAATAACCAGCCGAAAGGAGACAGCGGAAAAGATGGTGGAATATGGTGGAAAATGCAGGGAAAGCCAGTGCACAGTATATACCAATTAAAGCGGACAGCCTGGGATAGGTACTTCAACATGATAAGCTAGGAATAACATTCTAAAACTCTACGCAAAAAAAAGAAATAATTAAATTTTCAAAGAGTGGTTATAGATCTTAGTTTCTGTAGACTTTGTTTTAAAATTTGAGTAGAAATATGATAAGCAAGTGAGGGATATATATCATTATCTATCTATCTATCTCGCTTTAATATTTGCTAAAATATATTTAAAAATATTTTCCTTTTATTTTTAAAATTTTGCCGAGTAAAACGTTCAAGTAAGTTCAGAAATAATACTTTAGAAAAGATTTTTACACCCAATCCTTGAGGAGTCTATCCTTTTTACAAACTACAAATTCCTAGGACACATACATTTTCATTTATATTTATCAAAATTCATCGAATCTGCCATGACATTTACCCAATTTCCTTGGCCAAGTTCTTACCTTGAAAAGTAATAAACAAATTTTCCAGTAGAGAAAGCTTTTACTGGCAAAAGAGAAAGATAATTTGTTTTCTAAGAGCAAAAAGATGGAGGGAAAGGAGAGATGGAGATAGAGAAGTGCCTTGTCTTTTATTCCCTTTTCCCCCGTGTCCAAAGTGCATCTTTAGGCATTCCACATTGCTCCTGACTGGGTGGATTGCATTTGAGGCTAGACAAAAGCGTATCATGTTCTCAGCCAGGACCTTCTCTACCTGCCACGCCCCCGTTGGGGGCAAGTCATGTGTTTGTTTACAGGCAACTCGAGTGCACTTAAGCGGTGATACGGGAGAAGCAAAAAAAAAGTATGTAGGAAAAATACAAAAAATACAGGAAAATGTGGAAGAAAATATAGGAAAGTGTATTCTTAAAAAAAAAGTGTAAAATGGAAGACAAGATTTTGAAAGCAAGGACTGGAAAGCACTTTAAGAGAAAGAAGAGATGAAAGAGGATTTGTTTATAATATTTGTATTTAATATAATATTAATGGTAAAAATAATTACTCGAATGGGAAATACCAAAAACATAGCATACTTTTAGGCGGGGCTTAGCAGAAATTGCAAAAGGATGAACAACAATTTAGTTTCATTTTCAAATTCTAAATAAAATATTTTAGAAGAAAATATATAACTTTTGTTCAATATTTGGTAGATCTAATACTCCCTGCCAGGGTATACAGAACAAGACAAGCTAAGACCCAGACAATCCACTGGATGCTGGGCATATGTGAGATACAAGCGGGGAAATACAAATATACGAAAAGTTCTAAAAAAAGAGTTAACGAGAAATTTAAAGAATTTCCCAGCCAACTTGCTTCCTTGTGTCTCGTGGCGTTCTCTTCCTTGGGAGGTGAAAGTGCTCTGGCTATATCATCCCTTTGCCCCCCTTTTCAGGACGACTGCCGTTGACCTGCCCCAACAATTCTCCCCCATTTTTCACCGTACACACACCCCCAACGCCTGTTTATCTATTCAGTCACTTTGACACGTCTGATTTGATGTCAAGACAAATTTACATTTATCGCTCGACGATGCCTTGTGTTTTTTAGAGCCAAATAAAACGGAGGAAAAATACTACAATACATATAAACATGTGGAAAAAAATTGTATATCCTTTTTTCAGAATGATTATCTTACTTTTTTTTTAACAATGAATTATTTAAAGGTTTCTAACCCAAGAAAACTAAGCAAACCTTTATGCTTCTCTTGTTAATTGCCACAGACCATTTAACTTGTAAATCGAGACATTTATTAGTATAAAAAATATATAATATATTTAATGCCATTCTTTGGCATCATTTAACTCTTGTGGACATTTGTGGTCCTTCCTTCCTTTTTGTTGGTTTATAAACAAAAAAATACCTTTATATTTTATTGGTGGTCTCTTTATATACACTTTTCCTCTTAGTTCTGTTATTGTTTTTCCACCTTCTAGCTGGTCTTGTCTTTCTTTTTTCTTAGAACTTGTTTCGTGTTCTTCCGCTTTTGGTTTTCCACGTACTTTTTTTTTGTTTTCCTTTTCCTTGTTGATTAATAATTCATTGGGCTTTCCACGCCTTTTCTTGTGTCCAGCCATAATTCTTGTGGCGCCGCCTGTTGGATAAAAAACGAGCACAAAAAGAAAAAGAAAAAAAAAACAATGAACAAAAAATAAAAACAACAAACAATTTATTGGTCGTGCCAAAGGGGGGCGTTGGAAGTTGAAGGGGCGTGGTGCTTTGATACCCTTTTCTCCATGTTTTTACCTGAGTTTTTCCAAGGGCTTTGTGGGCTTTCAAAAAAAAAACTTTTTTATGACTACAGCAGAGGTATTTAAAAAATAATTCAAGAATTTAAAAAATATATAAAAAATAAATTATAAATAATTAATATATAGGCTTGAAAAAGCGAAAATCATAGATATATCAATATTTTATCGGAACAAATATCGATATTTTTACATTGTATTAGGTCGATAAAACAATTTTTTGTATCAATAATATCGATATATTAAATTTAAATGCGATATTTTTGAGTATTTACAAGTTTGATATATTTTATATACGATATTACGATATTTTGAAAAGTATGTTGAGCGTGAATTTTATTTAAATTTAACTATATATATTTAAATTTATATATTTTTGTATGCCATATATTTTATTTTTTATATATTTGAAATAGGAATTTCTTCTAATTTAATTTCTTTCATATATTTTTTTTAAGTAAAAACCCTTATACGAATTTTTTGCTATATTTTACAAAACTACTTTTACGTTGACCTCAAGTGTCTGTGTGTTTTTGGGGGTTTCTGCTTTGCCATGCATTTTATTTAAGTCTGTTGTTGTTGCATTCGAAAGCAAATTGTAAAAAATCATTTGCCGACTTTTTGCCACAAAAGTTTTGGTCTCTGGTGTGTAGCTGGCTCTTTCTCGCTTTATC